CGTTTTATGATGCGAATGCGTCAATGGAAATCGACGTTACGTGTTGAGAGTTCAATTCAAGCGATGCCAGACGTCTGTGTAGAAGGTCGTGAACCTCCACCGCCCATACAACATGTATCTGGTAGGTAGTTGTGAGTTTTGTTTGAAGGTTTGGAGCTGACCTCAGGCAATTACTGTGTGGGAAAGTAATACCCCAGAAGTGTTCCCTCAGGGGAATAGTCGGTTTTGGAGCTTAACAGGATTTAAGTTTGTCCCGTTTACTCTGATAAAACCCGCATGGAAGCGGCTTCTAACAGCGGGACCCTCTTTATTTCTGCTGCGGAAAATTGAGCATGTTCCTGGCAACATTCTATACGAAATGAGTAAGAAATTGGTAGGCTTCAGCCATTCTGTGGACCTTGAAGAAGCTGTTCCTTTGTTAGACTGAAGAATTCATCGAGGTTGTATACCGGCGTTCTAATTGGCCGTGAACACGCGCCGCAAACGCGCGCCTTTATTTCATGAACAGCTCAGGCTCAAAAAAAAATCCGAAAATCCGTCATGAGTTGATAAAACCCACAATAAATTCAACTCATTCGTTTATGCGATCCCTCTCTCACGGATGAATGGTTCCTTTCTGTTGCGTATTGTCGAATTCGAGCTTGTCTTTGTCTCAAGCTTGATCGAATAACGTAAGTGTAACGTGACTGGGGCGAAAGAAGGCACGTAATGGCGTTGCTCCATTCCCATCGTCACTTAGCCATCGCTTTCTTTTGGAGCTTTTTGTTGCTAATTCTTTTTTGTCACTTTTGACGAATCCTTTTGAATTGTTGCACTGGGATTCTAAAAGTTATACAACCTCATGATGTGCCTAGATTGCTGAATAGTCAGTAGGTTTCCCAAAATGCCTCTATAGTGATGTGAAGTGAACGTTCTAGTGTTAGTATGTGGTTTGTGTTGTGTTGTAGTGGATGATTCGATGGACGAAGAACGTTCACCGTTGGAAGCCGCTGAGACGATGTTTGCCAAAATGCCGACGGCTTCTGTCGTCGCTGCCACGGCGGCCACTACTGTGGCGCCATCCCCGAAAGTTGGCAATCGACCGCAAACGTTGGACGTTTCGACGCATAGGGAACGTACTACGAGTGAGAAGAACAATAACCAGGACGCCATGAACCGTAAGTTCCTTCTATACGATCTTTCAACGCCGTTGTTCGTCTGCTAGTTGTGGTGGTTTGCCATTGCTTTCTTAGTAATCGAGCAAAATAGGATTGGCTGCAGAATAGGATTGTTTTCAATTTTCTTATTCTGTAAATATTCTTTTTATTATGGAACTATTTAAAAAACCGTCTCGTACGAGTCGGACAGTCTAGAAACAGGCCCAGGCGACTAATTAAGTTGGCATTCTGCTTGTCAACTCATGGTGAGCTGACACATGTTCTGCATTGGGTTCAGTCCTTAACTGCATGAATGAGTGAATTATCTCCTCTACTTCTCCAACTCCGAGCAATATTTGACTCTGACTCACTGAAGTATGGTGGACATGGCATACAGGCTTATAGGCGAAGAAGTAGGAACATAAAGTGGGATGAATCATTTGAACAGGTTTGAAAGGGAAATGGGAGCGGGCATCGATAGCAAATCTTACAATCCTGTAAAGGATCTTATCAGCCCATTTTTTTGAAAGCTGCCAAAAAGCTCTGTAACCAAAAAAAAGCCGAATCGTGGGCAAACGCTTTTCTTCAGACGGGTATTGAATCCATAATCATGCTTTCTGAACACCATCCATTATTCACAACGTCTCAGAGACCCCATCCATCTCCCTTCAGCTACCCCAAAAGAATAACGGACCACGATGTCTTCTTAGGGTTTTGATCTTTTCACTAAGAAACTTATGAACAGGAATTCAATGCAATCATCCATTAGAAACTACCATAACATCATGCTCTTGGTCAGATTCTGCCACGGAACGATTCGAGATGGTGTCGAGGGGCGACTC